TGAGAAACAAAATGTTTGCTCGGCTAGAAGGGGGACCCGCCTAGCTGGGTCACTCTTTTATGGTGTTAGAGTCATCCTTCTTGCCAGGCCATTTTTTCTCCATATAAACCCTTTGGCTCATCCAGCCGGGTCAACACGATCAAGGCGAGAAAATCAGAGCATGCGCAAGCCCTGTTGCCAGCCCTTGGCTCGGGCAAAGGAGTCAATTTTATTCTCATAAACAACCGCTTAAGTTGACTCGGCTGGGAGGTGGTGTCCAGTAGCTTCCTTTACGGGACAACTTTTCTCTACATAAACAAATAATGAACAATAGTGCCGTCTTGTGGCTTAAGTTCCTCTCCAAACGTTTCGGGCCTGGTCCTTCATCAGTGGAGTTACAAGTACGTTGGAAAACGCATCGGAAGCGCGTGAAGATGCGCCTTATTTTTCAACTTGGCACCAGTCATCCGCGCGGCTTTGACTCCGACTTCCATTTCCTCTAGGCCGCGGACAGAGCCGCTCGCGCACTACAATTTTTTGGGGTGTTTTATTTTTTCTTTCATGGCGTATACAAACCATGCAAGGTTTCCAACGCACTTGCAACTCCACTGATGAAGGATCAGGCACGAAACGTTTGGAAAGGAACTCAAACCATAAGACGGCACTTTTGTTTAAAAGTACCTACGCGTTTCAGTGTCTGCAGATAATCGGTGAGTTTGAAGGATCTGAAGAAGAGTCAAGTGTGGCGCTTAAACCGGCAAACATTGAGAAGAACAGGTTTCCGGATATTCTTCCACGTGAGTCTATTTCAACTGTTCGTTTCCAATACTCATTATAAGGCATGATTCTTGTTATATATTTAATAGTTACAATGAGTAGTTAAATTGGGGCTATGTTGGCCATTTTTTTCCCTCCGTAGTGGATAATGGCCGACTGATTTTAAAGTCTTCTGAGCCGGATAAAGATTACATCAACGCTTCGTTTGTTGACGTAAGTACATAATCATTGCATTTTGGTGGGATAGTCTTTAACATCCAACAAATGACTCAATTTTTCTAGCTGCCATTACGTTACTTAGGTAGAATATCGTCGTTGTAAAATACAGTAGCAGTGAATCGATGATCTCTGTAGACTGAATTTCCAACAATTCTCCGAGCATTGTTGAATGAATTTCTATTTTCAAAATAATTATAACCATATCCGTCCTGAAATTCTTATTATTCTCTGAAATTAACAAATATTCCCAGCAGTGTATGCAATAAATTCTAAGATTGAGTAAGTGTGTCATCATTCATCATACTTTTCATCGCCCGGGGAAGGAAAAGGAAGGGGGAGTGGGGGGTGGGGGGGGGGGGTAACCAGGCAGGTTTTGGTCCAGGCTGTTGAGGGAAGGGAGTACGGTGATTTACCCCATCCCCTCCCTTTACTGAAGAGGCCAGAATCCTTCGCCGTTACCCAAAAACCCAATAACGCTGAATAACGCTTGAAATCACCAAGCACCTTCCTCTCCAAAGACTCGCCTGCCATTTACGCTTTGAACATCTCAATCTTTCACTCTTTCTTTTGTGTGATAGGACTATATCCGACGTGACGCGTACATTCTGACTCAAGCTCCATTAGACAACACCATTAATGACTTTTGGCGCATGGTATCACAGTATGATATTGGGACGGTGGTGATGCTCAACAGCCTGGAAGAAGGAAAAGAGGTCAGTTGAATATAAGTTCTCTCAGCTTTGACTTTAATTCGAAAAAAATATCCGCAGGTTGGTGTATAGCATTTTTTTTTTCTTTGAGGAGATCATTTTAAAATTACCAGTAATCACTATGTGGCAATGCTACCCTTTTCGCAATCAGTATCACCACTAGTACGCATGTGTAGTTTGCATGGTCAGAATTAAACCTGTTTATCTCAGTATAGCGAAAAGCTCGTCAGAGTAGTGCTTTCATCAGCAGCTTCTTGAGTCGTTCATCGGAGGATATATTAGCTCGAGGGTTCTAACCAGGCGGTAACAAGGGGCTGGAAAAGGCCATGCGAGGCTGCGTTCGATATCTTGAAGAATTTCCTTCACATCGCCAGCCTGCCTGCAAATAAACAGCAACGAAAAACAACCAAGAAAAAAAGGACAACAAAGACGGCGACGACGACGATTAGTAATGATTTCAGATTCAAGTTTGGTCGAATTTCACATTTACATGTATGTCCCTTGGCGTGAATTTTATGAACTACTTTTAGGTCTACCCACAATACTGGCCTTCTAAAGGAAGTACGAGGTATGGGAACATCACTTTAGAGATGCTTTCAGAATCCACAGCGAACGGAATCACGACCAGGAAGATCAGTATAGCAAATGCCGAGGTATTTATCTACCTTTCTAACTTATTCATAGAATGGATCTGTCACGATTGCCTCGTTCATTTTGTTCAGAATGCCTGTCACGCATTCTTATTCGTGTTGAAACTTACCATGAATGACATCAATTTAAGTTTCTGGGAAACTGCCCACCTACCCCTCCCCTAAGCCAACATTTTGTCCTACGTGAGAAGTAAGTGTTAACGTTGGCTTAGGGGAGGGGCAGGTGGGCAGTTTCCGGGAAACCCAAATTGTCCTGACAAAACACAGCTCTTTGTGAAACAAAGTATGTCTCCCAAGCATTAAAGCAATTGCTAGAAACAACAAGAACAGAACTTAGGCCAACAAGTTTTCAAAAACTACAACTGCCATTCGTTTCAATCTTCTTTGAGTTTTTCCGTCCGTGCTTCCTTTTGTATTTGTTTTGTCATTTATACCCTCTTTTAACGTTTTGAACGGTTATTTTAATGCTTCAGTCAATTTGGCAGCGGTTCCCACACTTTGAATTTTGATAAATTTCGTGACACAGCTCCTTTGAGTTCGTAATTAAGTTTTTTAGCTGTATAAACATGTCTACGTCACTTCTGTGTAAATACGCTAACCCGCCCTAATCGTAGAAAGCTATATGCCTGAAGCACCATTATTACTTTTAGTGTCTCGTCTGAACGTTATCTGTTTTCATTATCTGCATATCACTAGTCAGTTGTTACTATACAGGATCAATAGAAGGCAGCATTCTAGGTGATTTCGATGTTATGATAATGTTGCGTAGTTGCACTGTGAGTATCATTATATACCTAATTCAATAAAGGTTGCTTTGGTAATTGGTCATTGGTGGTGATTAGGCATGGGGCATTGGACATAGAGCGTTTTCACTCACGTGACCAGCATTTATGCAAAAGTATTAGAACAAAAGAAAACGTTTACATAAGAAAAGAGTTCAACTCCCACAGGACTGGTTTAGAACACCATCATGGCCGCCGTGACGTCATGTGAAAACGCTCTATACCCATTTCATTGCAATGATTGGTTTGAGTGACTGCCAAACAATAGCTTCCCGGTGAGCAATTGCCCAATGCCGAAAGCAGCCTCACTGGATCAAATATATATCTCAGCGAAAACTTTTCACTTGTTATGTTGACGGTTTAATTAGCCTCCCAAGAAAAATTCAACAGTTCAGCACCTACAGTTCACTGGCTGGTCAGACCCGAACTCCTGCCCAGATCCCCAGGAAATACTTCGTTTATTTACCGCTGTGCAGAAGTCTCAGCAACAAACAGGGAATGGAACAATTGTTTTTCAGTGCAGGTACGAAGGTCAACACTTATTTGAATAAGGCATGGACATATAAATAAATAAATAAATAAATAAATAAATAAGCTCTTCATTAATAGACGATAGTCGTATTCCCCGACAGCCCTGGGACGAGAGACTTCACAGCATGATTGCGAGGCTAAAGCGGGGAACTTTTTGGCAAAAACACAAACAAACATTGGTTAGTCGCGGCTGAATTGCCGCAAAACGATAGAAATCAGCAAAAAACTGAAGAAGAAAAAAAAAAGATTTGAAAGCTGAAACCTTACGGGTAAGCTAAAGGGATATCGTTTCAAAAAACAAAACTGTGGGAAGACCTGGTCATACTAACAGCAAAAGTTAAAAAGCCACGAAGCCAATAAGAAGAAACAAGAAGTAATCAAGAAAATGGCCTGGTCTATTGTGTCAAAATGTCAATACTCGAATCCTTTTTATATAATTTTCTTCTTATTATTATTCTTTTTCTCTTGTGTGTATCTGTAGTGTGGAGTTTAAACTGCTCAGTATTATCGTCTGCACCAAACTCTGTGTTCAATTGCGTGCACGTTTTTGTACTCTCGCACAGTTGTTATCGAAGATAATGTAACTTAAATTTAAAAATAAACTTTACCTAGTCATCTTTGTTCAAACCGGTTGAACTTCCTTAAAATGCACATGGACTGTGTGCAGAACGCTAAGCCCCGTCCTGATAAGTATTAATATACACTAAATGAGTCGTTTGGTTTACTTCAAATACACATTCAAGATTTTGCATACGCTCTGTTAGAAAATTTCACCTGCAAAGTAGGTGTGATAAC